TTACTTTTATAAAAAAATTAAAAAAAAAAATGGGAAATATTTACAAGAGTAGAAAATTTTATATAAACTAAAATGTTGTAAAAAATAAATAAAATTTTAGTGTTTATATAAAAGAAATTATTTATTTATTATATGATACAGAAAGAAAAAAGTAAAATAAAAGAGATTTGTGATTAATAATATAGCAGTGATGATAATTAATAATTGATTGAATCTATCTACAATTAGATTTTTATATGATAAATTATTTTTTTTTTTTTGCATGCGATTAAATGCTTGCTATGGAAGAGGCTCTTTATATCAATCCAACTTTCAACTTGCAAAAAAGTAAAATTAAGATTTTGAATGATTCAAGCGTTGGATTCAACAATTCAATTTAGGATTTCTGCTTTGCCAATTCCTATTTAAGAATGTTTTTCCAACAACTCAAATTCCACTTGATTCAAATAATCTTTCACTATAATTGCAAAACTTTTTAGTTAGAAAAAAGCGGTCCTTGGTATATTACCAAGAGAATTGATACTCTCCATATCCAACATATTATCTTTCCTCCTGAATCCCACGTGTGTCATAGCACCATTAACTCTTTTATGACCAAGAACACCTTCCTCAACTCTCATTAATTCTGCCACGAATCCTATATTCGGACAGATACCACTTCTTCTTTCCATCACATAATCATACGCATGTCGAAGTGTCCAATGGCGTGACTTGATTAAATAAGCCAATACTGCAGTTACTGATCTTGATTTCCCTGCTTTACAATGTACGTATATCGGTGTATTATCATTATATGCTTGGTCTATAAAATCAACAGCCAATTTTAAACCATTTTCTACATCTTCTTCGACCAAATCTTTAACGCTAACTTTTAAATATTTTTCAAACTTTTGATTCAGTCCAAGATTATCTTCACATTCAAATGCCATATTTAAAATTCGCCTAATTCCTTTACTCTCCAACTCTTCAACCTCCTCTTCTTTAGTTATTTCAGGTCCAAGAAACAAAAAATCTGGAACTATAGTTGACACATCAAATGCTACCTCAGGATGTGTTATTGGTGGTGGCGTACACGGTGAATCTAAATCTAAATCATCGTTCCTGTTACTGCTGTCAAGGTTTGTTACCAGTATACTAGGAGTTAAATCTTGATTAGTGAGACATATTGATAATTGTTCGCCGTTTTTGCTTGTAGATTTAAAAAGATATTGTAGTCCGTTAGATGGACGTCTTAATTTTAGTATATCGTTGTTATTGTTGTTGTTATTGTTATTGTTGTTATATTCTTCTGATTTTTCTTGATTATATTGATTTTCGTCAATTTGTTGCGGAACAGCAATTGTATTATTGTTGTTATTATCGGAAGGATTTTTTCCACTTTTTTTCCTTCTTAGTGAGTTTCTTTCAGTATTTACAGAAAATAAGGAATCACGTCTAACCAAACTTGCTCCTTGATTTTCAACATCCAATGAAGAATTACTAATTGAATCAAGATAACCTTCTTTATCATTATCAGAAGAACAAGAGGAAATGCTAGGAGAAGTAGCTGTGTTGCTGCCGCTGCTGCTGTTGTTGTTGTTGAGTGAAACATCTAGACCACTCATTATAAATTCGCCCTTTTTATCCCATGATTTAAATGCTTCAAACCCCCCTTTAAGCCAATAAACTCTACCTCTGTTAGAATCATCCATTGGTGATAATGGATCCGGTGTTTCTAATAAATTATCGTTGTTCGACATCATTACACGTTCTAAAACACTTAACAATGTCCAACCCGGACTAACTTTATCATTTTCATTCATTGTTTCATCAAATACTATTACATCATGTTGAAGTTTCATTCCATTAATATTAATATTGCTGTTATTAATATTGCTATTTTCATCATTACTATTGTTGTTGACATTATTATTTATTATATCAAAATATTTATCACGTCCTTCAGGTGTTGTGATAAATGAATCCAGAGAGAAATTACTCATACTCCCGCGACGATATCGTTTAATGAGTAAAGTTGGTAGATTAACATTAAAAGATTCGCATATATGTTCATTTTCATATAATGCCAGATTACGTACATCAATAAGTATTGGTTTAAGTGATGGTTTAATCGTCGTCGATAATGATGATAATGAATACATTTTATTTTCTTCTGCCGCTTTTTCTAATTCATTTTCGTTTTCAGTATTTGAATTAAAAGAAGGATAAGATTCACGTAATCTTTCGGCGAGTTCAGCGGGTACAATTGGTAAAGCTTTTTTACATGTTGAAGATTTTGGTTGTCTAAATTTTCCTATAGGTTTATTGTAGAAAAATGAATTTTGTTTGTTACAACTATTGCCATCACTATTATAATTGCTATCACTGTTATTATTATTGCTATTATTATTATTATTATTATTATTATTGTTAAAAGTCTTTGACAATGATTTTGGAGATTTTGGAAATCTTAATATTGATTTGTTTTTACCAGTAATTGTTGTTCGTTGAAGCGCAGCAGTGATGGCGTTTATAGGTTTTAATACAAATCTTTTTGTTGGACTGTGAGGATTACGAGGAGAAGCAGGCAGGTCAAAAAAAGAATCACTTTTAGCGGGGCTTATAGGAGAAGACAAACAACCATTTACAACATTGTTGATTAAAGTATTTGAAGTTGAAGAGGAAGAAGAAGTTGATATTATTGAAGAAGGTGACGGTGGTGGGATAATAACAGGAGTTGGTAATTTCGATAATCTTCTTTTACGATTACATCCGGACATTTTTAAAGAGTTATTATCTTCTTTATTGTTGTTGTTGTTGTTGTTGTTGTTATTATTACTATTATTATTAAAGTTATAGTTAAAGTTCATGTTAAAAAAGTTATTGTTATTATTATATTTAACGTCCTCCATTTCTTGAATATTATTGTTGTTACTCATTTTCTTGCCAAATCAGATTCGGTATCGCACAAATTCTATCAAAAAAAGCTTCATTTTTAAATTGTTTCTTTCTTTGATTGAACATCAAACAATCCAAATAATAACCAATATTCTTGAAAAAAATAGATAAATAAAAGGCATATTTAATCGGTTACAAATTAGGCTTGGACGATTTGTCAGTTCGATTGTTATTCACAGCCATATAACCATCTTTCATACATAACAAACAATTGCAATTCTCTTAATGACTGGGAATAAAAACTTGTCAGAAAACTTGAATATCTTTCCATTATGTGTGGCGATTATTTAATCAATTGATTTTAATTATAAGAAATTAAATTTATTAACTAACCCATCCATCTATGATATTATTTTTTTGACAGATATTAAAAAAATGCTGTGGTTATTCTATAAATAGCAATCCCTAGTTCGCACTTGTGTACCCTGAAATATTCTAAAATCCACTGGTTTACCATTTATATTAAATAAGTAATGAGACAAACTCTCTTGACGAGTAATAAATATTTTATAAATAAACCACGCATAACGTGTATCATTTTCATTATATAAGATATTTAATTTTCCATTCATTCATTCATTATATGGTGTATACATACATACGTGTATGGTTTGGTTTTCTGAATAAAGGGTCCCAAAAAAAAAAAAAACAAAATGCGTGAAAAATGAAAAATAGAAATAAAAAAATGAAAAAAATGAAAAAAAAAAATGAAAATGAAAAATTAAAATTAAAAAAAAATTTAAAAATTACCTAATTTGATTCCTAGTCCCCGAGCATTTAATAACAAACGCCCGGGGTACTTTATTATAACTATTGATAAAATACTTCAGAGCCACCAAATTACCTCATTATTTGATTAACTTGTTTCAGTAATTGTGTGTGTGTAAGGTAAAGTGGATGTTGTAAAAAGATCGTGTGTTATTTATTATATTTTTAGCAATTTTCTGCCCCCTTCTCAATTAAAGCCATTCTAAATTAATTAATCAAGTTTTAAAAACGATTTATTTTTATTTTTTAGGAAATATTGAATTCTCTCTGATCCACTTTCGCATAACAACAGATAAATTTTTAAACTATCCGATCTAATATTTTTAAATAAAGTCTATCTATCTAATTCAGGTTTATAACGAGTTTTATTTCAAACTTTAAGAAAATGGCTGAGTGATAAAAAAACAAATAAAAAGCATTTTTTTAGATTTTGCTTGTGTATGTTTGTATGATCTCATGAGCGAAAAAAAGGAGTAGTGGTTTCTTGATTTGGTAATGAATATTAGTTGTCACGTGATCGATCAATATCTTTTATTATTTTATTATTAGTTTTCTTATTTTTTTTTCAATACAAAAGTTTTTGAATTGTAAATATAAATAAATATAGCTACGTGTATATATATATAATAAAGAAAAAATGCCAAACATAATAGTACAATAGATCCATCTATATTTGTATAGTGGAAAACATATTATTTTATTTTGACCAATCAATCAATTAATTATTAATTATATAGATATATATATTTAGATATATATATTGAACCTACAGCTCCATCCCCGAATCCCATGATATAAA